GTTCTCCTTGCATCTGATTCCTTATTTTCAGGGACCAGGATATGTTCATGCCTGAAACCTTTAAGCTGCATCTTAGAGAAAGAAGAGAATTAACAAACCAAACTTACAGGTCTATTCAATATAATTGGAGGGTAAAACATTGTGAGCAGCTTTGAATGCGTCAGTGCCTTCACTTTCTATGTAATAGACTTTATAAATTTAGAGGAAGCATGCCATTCATGTTAATCATGGTAGAAATAACTACTAAAAAATAATATAAATTATATCTTGAAATCTTATTTAATATTTTAAGTTTTTTGATTGAATTAATTCTTTGATATGGTATCAAAGCATCAATAACCAAGCGATCACGAGTTCAAATATTATTCTTATTATTTGATAAAAATTAAACAATATAATATAAGTTTATACAAATAAATAATATAAATTATATTTTAAAAATTCATCTAATAATATAAGTTTTTGAACTGAATTGATTCTTTTACAATAACAATATGTAGAAAACAACATTTTGAAACCATAATATGATTCTAAGATCAAGAGAACAGAAGCAGAAGTTGAAATAACAAAAAAAAGGAAGATCACTCAAATGGCCTAACCTTAATTTGATTCCAAGGTGGGATAGTTGTGTGCTTGACGAGAGCAAGGCACTTCGTATCACCCTTTACATCTCCATCATCAACCATCTTGGCAGAGGTCCTCGCAGAGTTGAGCTCTGCTTCCATTAGCTGTAGAGCAACCCATGTTATCGCCTCTAGTGAAGTTTCTTCCAAGCGAAGAAAGTTTACCATGTCCAACAAATAAAACATGAGAATCATTATACCACAAACAAATGCAACTCAAAGCATGTAAGGACGAGTCCTGCATGAAGTTCAGAGCATTATATGTCTGATTAAGAGAATTTGAACATGTATATATAGCAAGCAAATTGAAGTTGAATGATAGTAGTTGAAAATTAGACAATAATGCAAACATGGTTTTCACTTTTTTCCTCCATAAGGGCTTAAATTTGGCCTTACCTCCAACATCAGGTATTCAATATGAGCGAGATATGGATTGCGATCAGGGCATTGATCACAGTAGTAAACAGGATACGTTGGATCCCTTTCTTTCTCACAAAGCTCACAGCAATACTGGCCGGAGTCGTCTTCAACAAAGCAATCCTTAAGGGTGAGGGAATGTGAATAGTCGCGGGAGTGGCAATCATTCTCAACTACACGCGCTAAAGGAATGCATTCCCTTTTATAAATTAGATTTTATAATTTCGATCATTCCCAAGTATGTTTCAGTTTTATTCTGTTTGTTCCATTTTATAAATAATATTAATTTTTATAATTTTACCTTTTAATATTTATTTTTTTAGATTGCATTTTATAAGTTTTTGTTGTTTATTTTCTTTGTATTGTCTCAATTTTATTAACTATATCACATGTTTCACAAATTAATTTAATTTTTTTAATTTTTATTTTATTTTTAGTTTTATCATTTAATATCTTTAATATTCAATTGATTATAAATTAAATTTTATCATTTATTTTAAATTATTTTCTATGAAGTTATCTCAGTCTTATAACTTAATTAACTGGTTTTGTGAGTTTATTAGAGTATAATTAAGTTGTTTTATTGTGTTTTTTTATATTGAATTTTTTTTAATTTCATCATTAATAATAAGTTTATTAATATTTGAGTTTTATAATTTGTTTCAATTTTATTTGTTTAAAATTATAATAATCTTGTGATTTAAATCTTATATTTTAAAAATTAATTCAAGTCAGCCTAAATCAACCCAATTCTCACCTTGAATACATAATAGAATAAATCTATGAACACTATACAGAAACTTATTATATGGTTTTTTTTTTAAAAAAAAAAAACAGAGAGCACAGGTCAGAGAAGCTGAGGAGGAAAAGGAAATTGGGGAATGGTATAATGAGATGAGACAAGGAAGAAAATGTTAAAGTATTACGTCTAAGTGCTATTTAAAAATTTTTGAAAAAGTTTTAGTTTTAAATTAATATTTTGAAATTATTTTTATATATTAATATTAAAAATTAATTTTACCAAAATATTATATTATTTTAATAAAATTCTAAACAAAATATACTTTAAAAAATAATATCTACCGCATTTCCTGAACTACCGTAATATTACTAATCGTCAGCTCAATCATAACGATTAATTAATGTATTGTTTGAGAAGACAGAAGTCGCTGGGAAGTAACCAATTGCTTTTACCTACCATATTATTAAGAACTTAAAAAAAAAATTAGAAACTACGAGAATTTGAAAGTGAATAGTATAATTTTGTTTGTTTTAAGTAAAATATTTTACATTTTTGTGTTTGTTTCCCTAAAGTATTTTTTAAAAATTATTTTTTGTATTTATTTCTTGTAAAATATTTCATAGAAAAACTAGCAAATAAAAAATATTTTATAGTTAACCTTCAAATTTAATTTATTTGTGAGAAAATATTATCTATTCTTAACATTCAATAAATTATTTTATAAATAATAATTTATTTACAATATTATCCAACTATATATCTCAATAATTACTTATATTTAACTATTATCATTATCATTTTTTCCATAAATATCATCTTATTATTATCATTATTATTATTATTATTATTATTATTAAAAATATTTTTTTATTTAAAAAAAACTGCTCGTAAAATATTTTGCAAAAAAATAAATGGACTCCTCACCTATCTTGCTAGCCTATCCTAAGTTCCTAGGATTACCTTCTCAACGACGATTCTAAAAATCATAGATTTCAAACCTAGTCGTATCCACAAGGTTGATTTGGTGATCAGTCAACTTAAGACATGGCTAGATTTGAATTTGATAAGTATTAATTTAAAATAAAAAAATAAAAAAATATAAATTTTTTTAAAATATAAAAACAAATAAAACTCTAGTCACCAGCCCCTTGAGACATGTTTGGAGTCAAGTTGGATTTTGAATTAATTATTTGGAGACTCTTCATCTCAGTGGATAGCTGTTGTGAGACGAGAGAAGAAAAAAAGTTTTATTTTCTCATGAATACAATTAAAATTAAAAAGAAGAAGTGCATCTTGTATATCTGTCTTGCTATACTTCTTTAAAAAAAATGTTTTTTAATTAAAAATATATATAAAAAACAATGTTTTTTTATATTTTTTAAATTTTTGATATCATTAAATCAATCATAATTTAATTACTTGTTTATGGGACTTAATTATGATTTATCCCACTTCACTTGTTTCGAAAATTAAAATAGGAAATTTGTTCTGAAAATATTTGATCATTTTAGAGCCAAAAAACAAAGAACCTGCTTCGTTATAGCTACCTATATTTGTTGCCCCTGCTTCTTCGCTGCCGGCCGGGGAAAAAAAAATTAGAATAAAAAAATTTAAGATCCGGGTTGTAGGTTTAATTAGTAATTCAAACAATATAAACAAAAAAATAAACAATATTAACAATTAAGCTCACAAAAATATAAAAATAAAAAATATATAAAAACAATTTGACCTGAACCTATCCAAATTGTTAAACAACCTAGTATTAAAGAGTGAAACTGTACAAAAAAAAATAATTAAAAAAGACAACAAGGAAATTGCAAAACAATATTTGTAATTTGATAGATTATTTATAGATTAAAAAATAAGAGAGTGAAATTGCAAAACATTTGTAATTTTATAACTTATTCAAAATAAAAAAAAAAGTAATAACAAGGATAAGGATTAAATGTGAAGGCAAAATAAATTGAAGGGGCTGGTCTTAATTTTTGAAGGGATTGGCACAAAGTTTGAGGAGGGGAGAGAGAGAGAGAAGAAGAGGGGGTAAATGGTTGTCGATATCAACCTAAAGATGTGTTTAGTCAACATGTCACCATATCATTTAAGGGGTGAGACTTCTAAACACTGCCCTGAAAGGTAGTTTTTGATGGTTGAATAGTCTTGCATGCACTGTCCTCGTAAAACAAGGGCTATCAACATGTCGATACATGTGTAGTTTTTTTTAATAATAATTAATTTTGGTCAAATATAGTATTACTCTCAAGTAACCTTTAAATTTATAATAAAACCAATATGAAATGATTAAAAAAAGAGAGATTATGTGAGAAAGTTATGTTGATTTTGTTTTTAAAAATATCAAAGTAATTACAATACTTTGAAAAAGTTGAAAAGACCAACATTTGATATTTTAAAGAAAAATTATTTTAACTACATGAGTTTGGTATAAAAAATTGAAAGGCTATTTTAGAGGCGTTTATGAATATAGTTGGATCTAGTTTAGATCCATAATTATATTTAATTCAATAGTTGATATTTTAAAACATTATAAACTTAACTCATTCGAATTTTTTTATACCTAAACGGATTTGATATATCAAGTTGGAATAATTTTTTCATGATTATTGCAAATATTCACGGGTTGGACTATTAGAAATAAGATTTGATATTTTATAAAATTATAGACTTGACTCATTCAAATTTTTTTATACCTAAACGGATTTGATATATCAAGTTGGAATAATTTTTTCATGATTATTGTAAATATCCATGGGTTGGACTATTAGAAATAAGATTTAGACCTTATAAACTAGCCTAAAGCATATTATAAGTTTTAACAAACAATTTAGGCTTAATACACTAATTGAATAAATGGACTAAAATGAAGTAATTAATTGCTAAAGGAGGACCAACCATATAAAAACAAATTATGTTTGTCATTATAGAACATATAGGTTGGGTTAAATTATCTAGATTTTAAAAATTATAGCTCATCACCTGATTCGTGATATCAATTTATTAAGTTTTTTGACCCACTGTCATTTGTAATATCTATATTATCTAATTTTGACGAATTGAGTCAGGTCAAATAATACTAATATTATAGATGTGTTGTTTTTTTCAATATCGTATTCTAATTGAAAATGTATTAAAATATTATATTTTTATATTTTTTAAATTTTTAACATTATCACATCAAAACCATAAAAGAAATATTTAAAATGTATCAATGTGATGTTTTTTCATATAAAAAGTAGTTTAAAAAGCATTTTTAAAAACAAGTTGGACCGTATTACTAAACACAAAATTAGCATGGATGAGAAATTAGGAGGACAACACACCTCGAATACAAGAGAGAAATAGAAAAACTAGTGAGTTTCTTCGTATTATCAATCCTGCTTGCTTGCAAATTACTAGCACTGCAACACTTGTCAACGAACAAAGGTATCAGTAAAATGAAGAACTCTGGATCAATATTTGATGGCAGCGAATCCGAAAGAGGCAACACGCCCTCTGTTCAATCCCTGTTGAATAAAAGGCTTGCCTTCCTTCACCATTTACCTATAAAAAAAAAGATCACCAAATAGTTAAAAGCCATGAAAAAATGAAGAGCCATCCAATTAAAAAAATAATAAATTAACAGAGGAATCAGTGAGAAAAACAAGTTTTAAGATTAAGAGAGGGAGGGAGGGAGAGTAATTAAAACACGATGGTTACCTGTAATTCAATATCGTTCAAAATCTACATGGGGACGAAGGACATCCTTTGTGTTAGGATGCTCCCACTCCACTATGTCTTCCACCATTCTTCTGGATAGGCAACGATACTTACAAGAGAAGGGGGAGGAGATGGTTGTATTGTGCGTACTGGATCGAAAGCAAACACAAATAAAACACAAACAAGCAAATTTACATGGTTTCCTAAAACCGGGTATGTCCACGGAAGCAGTAGATTATATATTATTAGAGGAATGATACAAACACTCAACTCAACCGAGTACAATCCCACAAAACCCAGTGTTTCACTCAAATCTACACTTTCTCACTTTCACAGTTGCACTCACCACACTTTCACCCTTTTTACTCTTACCACATTTACACTATATTTATCTTACATTGCTAAGATTGATCTTTGATATGGGTATCATCAGTTGAGAATTAGGGAGACAAACATTTCAAAGACAGCTTTTAAAACTCGGTATGGTCATTATGAGTTTTTAGTGATGTCTTTTTGGTTGACGAATGCACCAGCAGCTTCTATGGATTTGATGAATAGAGTATTTGACCAGTTTATTGATCAATTTGCGATAGTTTTTATTGATGATATTTTGGTGTATTCGAGGTCTAAAGAGGAGCATGAGCAACACTTTAGAATGATGCTTCAAACTCTGTGAGATCATCAGTTGTATGGCAAGTTCTCAAAGAGTTAGTGTAGCATTTCTTGGGCATGTAGTGTCAAGGAATGGGATTGAGGTTAATCCTCAAAAGATTGAAGCAGTTAAGCAGTGGCCTAGGCCTACTTTGGCAATAAAGATTAGAAGTTTCTTAGGTTTGACCAGCTACTATCGGAGGGTTGTGGAGAACTTTTCTCAGATTTCTGCACTATTGACTAAGTTAACGCAGAAGAATGTTAAGTTTCAGTGGTCTGAAGCTTCTGAAAAAAGTTTCTTAGAGTTGAAAGAAAGATTGACTACATCGCCTATTCTAGCAGTACCATCAGGTTTTGGCGGTTACATAGTGTATTGTGATGCTTCAAGAGTGCTTCGAGAGTGGGGTTAGGATGTGTTCTAATGCAGCATAGCAAGGTTATTACCTATGCTTCATGACAGCTGAAGAAGCATGAACAGAACTATCCTACACATGATTTAGAAATGGCAACTGTCATTTTTGCTTTGAAGATTCGGAGGCACTACTTGTATGGTAAAACTTGTGAGATTTTTACAGATCACAAGAGTTTGAAATATATCTTTTAGTAGAGGGATCTAAATATGAGGCAGAAGAGATGGATGGAATTGGTGAAGGATTATGATTGTACCATACATCACCACCCGGGCAGGGCAAATGTAGTTGCCCGATGATTTGAGTAGAAAATCATTAGAGAGCTTAGCTCATATTCAAGAGGTATGAAGACCTCTAATTAAGGAGATGTATGAGTTAGTGGATAAAGGAGTTAGATTTGATCTTAGTGAAGTTGGAGTGATTAGTACTTAAAAGTGCATTTTTATCATGGTTTTATATCATCATTTTGCACTTCAAGTATCAATAACT